TGTAATTGTATTTTTCAGTTTTGTCAATGAAGAAGGCTTCAAACATCAAATGTACGCCTTGTACTCCACGCCGACATGCTACCTGCAGACGACGCACCAGGAGAAGTAATGACAAGTTGTCTTCTTGGTAACAGTTTCGTTATATGTTATACAATTTAAAATGAACCACACATTACAATATTTGGAGTTTATATTAATATACATAAATATATGTTATTACATATATATTAATTATATTTTTCAGTTTTGTCAATGAAGAAGGCTTCAAACATCAAATGTACGCCATGTACTCCACGCCGACATGCTACCTGCAGACGACGCACCAGGAGAAGTAATGACATGTTGTCTTCTTGGTAAGAGTTTCGTTATATGTTATACAATTTAAAATGAACCACACATTACAATATTTGGAGTTTATATTAATATACATAAATATATGTTATTATATATATACAGGGTGACTGGTGAATTACTATCAATATTTAAGGAGCATACTCGGTACATGATTCTCATTCGAATTATGTAAAAAAAATAGGTACTTAATTTTTGACCAAATTTCCGTATAAATAAATAAAGTGTGTACACGTTCCAAGTGTTCCTAGTGTGGACGCGTGCGGCGGCGTGCTGATACAACAACACGCCGCCGCCGCGCGCATATGTGTGAGTGTGTGTGTATACCTAATCTGTAGGGTGTTCATACGATGCGTAATTAATTACATAACTTTTGGTTAACTTTACCTAGAAGTTTATTAATATTTATGTTATATGTATTAATTTTTATTTTGTCATATATGATCGTCAAATATCACGTCCTCAAATATCGATAGTAATTCACCAGTCACCCTGTATATATTAATTATATTTTTCAGTTTTGTCAATGAAGAAGGCTTCAAACATCAAATGTACGCCATGTACTCCACGCCGACATGCTACCTGCAGACGACGCACCAGGAGAAGTAATGACAAGTTGTCTTCTTGGTAACAGTTTCGTTATATGTTATACAATTTAAAATGAACCACACATTACAATATTTGGAGTTTATATTAATATACATAAATATATGTTATTACATATATATTAATTATATTTTCCAGTTTTTGTCAATGAAGAAGGCTTCAAACATCAAATGTACGCCATGTACTCCACGCCGACATGCTACCTGCAGACGACGCACCAGGAGAAGTAATGACAAGTTGTCTTCTTGGTAAGAGTTTCGTTATATGTTATACAATTTAAAATGAACCACACATTACAATATTTGGAGTTTATATTAATATACATAAATATATGTTATTATATATATATTAATTATATTTTTCAGTTTTGTCAATGAAGAAGGCTTCAAACATCAAATGTACGCCATGTACTCCACGCCGACATGCTACCTGCAGACGACGCACCAGGAGAAGTAATGACAAGTTGTCTTCTTGGTAAGAGTTTCGTTATATGTTATACAATTTAAAATGAACCACACATTACAATATTTGGAGTTTATATTAATATACATAAATATATGTAATTGTATTTTTCAGTTTTGTCAATGAAGAAGGCTTCAAACATCAAATGTACGCCTTGTACTCCACGCCGACATGCTACCTGCAGACGACGCACCAGGAGAAGTAATGACAAGTTGTCTTCTTGGTAACAGTTTCGTTATATGTTATACAATTTAAAATGAACCACACATTACAATATTTGGAGTTTATATTAATATACATAAATATATGTTATTACATATATATTAATTATATTTTTCAGTTTTGTCAATGAAGAAGGCTTCAAACATCAAATGTACGCCATGTACTCCACGCCGACATGCTACCTGCAGACGACGCACCAGGAGAAGTAATGACAAGTTGTCTTCTTGGTAAGAGTTTCGTTATATGTTATACAATTTAAAATGAACCACACATTACAATATTTGGAGTTTATATTAATATACATAAATATATGTTATTATATATACATTAATTATATTTTTCAGTTTAGTCAATGAAGAAGGCTTCAAACATCAAATGTACGCCATGTACTCCACGCCGACATGCTACCTGCAGACGACGCACCAGGAGAAGTAATGACATGTTGTCTTCTTGGTAAGAGTTTCGTTATATGTTATACAATTTAAAATGAACCACACATTACAATATTTGGAGTTTATATTAATATACATAAATATATGTTATTATATATATACAGGGTGACTGGTGAATTACTATCAATATTTAAGGAGCATACTCGGTACATGATTCTCATTCGAATTATGTAAAAAAAAATAGGTACTTAATTTTTGACCAAATTTCCGTATAAATAAATAAAGTGTGTACACGTTCCAAGTGTTCCTAGTGTGGACGCGTGCGGCGGCGTGCTGATACAACAAACACGCCGCCGCGCGCGTATGTGTGAGTGTGTGTGTGTATACCTAATCTGTAGGGTGTTCATACGATGCGTAATTAATTACATAAACTTTTGGTTAACTTTACCTAGAAGTTTATTAATATTTATGTTATATTAATTTTTATTTTGTCATATATGATCGTCAAATATCACGTCCTCAAATATCGATAGTAATTCACCAGTCACCCTGTATATATTAATTATATTTTTCAGTTTTGTCAATGAAGAAGGCTTCAAACATCAAATGTACGCCATGTACTCCACGCCGACATGCTACCTGCAGACGACGCACCAGGAGAAGTAATGACAAGTTGTCTTCTTGGTAACAGTTTCGTTATATGTTATACAATTTAAAATGAACCACACATTACAATATTTGGAGTTTATATTAATATACATAAATATATGTTATTATATATATATTAATTATATTTTTCAGTTTTGTCAATGAAGAAGGCTTCAAACATCAAATGTACGCCATGTACTCCACGCCGACATGCTACCTGCAGACGACGCACCAGGAGAAGTAATGACAAGTTGTCTTCTTGGTAACAGTTTCGTTATATGTTATACAATTTAAAATGAACCACACATTACAATATTTGGAGTTTATATTAATATACATAAATATATGTTATTATATATATATTAATTATATTTTTCAGTTTAGTCAATGAAGAAGGCTTCAAACATCAAATGTACGCCATGTACTCCACGCCGACATGCTACCTGCAGACGACGCACCAGGAGAAGTAATGACAAGTTGTCTTCTTGGTAAGAGTTTCGTTATATGTTATACAATTTAAAATGAACCACACATTACAATATTTGGAGTTTATATTAATATACATAAATATATGTTATTATATATATATTAATTATATTTTTCAGTTTTGTCAATGAAGAAGGCTTCAAACATCAAATGTACGCCATGTACTCCACGCCGACATGCTACCTGCAGACGACGCACCAGGAGAAGTAATGACAAGTTGTCTTCTTGGTAACAGTTTCGTTATATGTTATACAATTTAAAATGAACCACACATTACAATATTTGGAGTTTATATTAATATACATAAATATATGTTATTATATATATATTAATTATATTTTTCAGTTTTGTCAATGAAGAAGGCTTCAAACATCAAATGTACGCCATGTACTCCATGCCGACATGCTACCTGCAGACGACGCACCAGGAGAAGTAATGACAAGTTGTCTTCTTGGTAACAGTTTCGTTATATGTTATACAATTTAAAATGAACCACACATTACAATATTTGGAGTTTATATTAATATACATAAATATATGTTATTATATATATATTAATTATATTTTTCAGTTTAGTCAATGAAGAAGGCTTCAAACATCAAATGTACGCCATGTACTCCACGCCGACATGCTACCTGCAGACGACGCACCAGGAGAAGTAATGACAAGTTGTCTTCTTGGTAAGAGTTTCGTTATATGTTATACAATTTAAAATGAACCACACATTACAATATTTGGAGTTTATATTAATATACATAAATATATGTTATTATATATATATTAATTATATTTTTCAGTTTTGTCAATGAAGAAGGCTTCAAACATCAAATGTACGCCATGTACTCCACGCCGACATGCTACCTGCAGACGACGCACCAGGAGAAGTAATGACAAGTTGTCTTCTTGGTAAGAGTTTCGTTATATGTTATACAATTTAAAAATGAACCACACATTACAATATTTGGAGTTTATATTAATATACATAAATATATGTTATTACATATATATTAATTATATTTTTCAGTTTTGTCAATGAAGAAGGCTTCAAACATCAAATGTACGCCATGTACTCCACGCCGACATGCTACCTGCAGACGACGCACCAGGAGAAAGTAATGACAAGTTGTCTTCTTGGTAACAGTTTCGTTATATGTTATACAATTTAAAATGAACCACACATTACAATATTTGGAGTTTATATTAATATACATAAATATATGTTATTATATATATATATTAATTATATTTTTCAGTTTAGTCAATGAAGAAGGCTTCAAACATCAAATGTACGCCATGTACTCCACGCCGACATGCTACCTGCAGACGACGCACCAGGAGAAGTAATGACAAGTTATCTTCTTGGTAACAGTTTCGTTATATGTTATACAATTTAAAATGAACCACACATTACAATATTTGGAGTTTATATTAATATACATAAATATATGTTATTATATATATATTAATTATATTTTTCAGTTTAGTCAATGAAGAAGGCTTCAAACATCAAATGTACGCCATGTACTCCACGCCGACATGCTACCTGCAGACGACGCACCAGGAGAAGTAATGACAAGTTGTCTTCTTGGTGTATAATCTTATGTATTTAATTTAGTATTATGCATGTAATTTAGTACCTTAAGTTAATAATAGATGGCAGTAGTGATAGAAAGTAAAACACGCTAACAAAATTTTTATGGTATTAGATATAAGCCAAATTAATTAAAATATAAAATGGATCTGAGGGATCTAAGATCTGAAACAACAGAGTGTTTTCATTGTTAAAACCCTGGGGTACAGTTCCTTATTACCAGCGAGGCAGTGTCTTTTAAATTGGTCCTTCGAGCCGGATCTATAACCGCGAAGTGCCGCGAAAGATCCGTTTTTTGTGAAACTACACTTGCGGGCAGTGGATTGCTGTCGCAAACGCAAGTCCCAGGAGCTAATCGAGGCGAAGTGCAGCCTCGGATAGCTTCAGACCGCGTCTTCAAGCGGTCAGGTCACGGTGGGCGGAATCTACCCGTCATCAGCATCGGGTGCGGCAAGGATCCACGGAACAGTCACCAACTACTGAGGTCCGAGGGGATTCAAGGCGTCCCTCTCTCAGTACGTCATCACCAAGAGGTCAGGTCATCATCAGCGCCAGCATCGGCTGCGGGGAGCAGCTGGTACTGAGGTCCGAGGGGAATCAAGGCGTCCCTCTCTCACAGTACGTCATTAAAAGTGATAGTGAGTGATTAGTGTTGTGAATATCTGTGTCTGGACAATTGTAAGTACTTTGAACCTTATTACTTAGAAGAAATTAACTTTAAAGAATCTCAAAAACTTATAAAAATTACATTACAGTGAATTATCTTAGAACATATTGTGTAGTTTAGACTTTAAAAAATAATTATATTAATTTTAACTTAGAAATAATTTGCATGATATTAGGACTTAGAATAATTTACAAAAAAACGAAGGTACGGGGAACCTATGCCCAAATTTTAAATTTCTTATATATGTAATTCAAACACTTAGAAAAAATTTCTTTGAATAGTTACTGCATTTGTTAATTAATGTTTAAAAACACTTAGTATAATTTACAAAAAAAAAACGAAGATACGGGGAATCCATGCCCAAATTTTAAATTTCTTATATATGTAATTCAGACACTTAGAAAAATTTCGTTGAATACTTTTACTACGTTTGTTAATCAATGTTTAAAAACACTTAAAATATTGTTGTAAATTTAAAATAATTTTTGCTTTGTATAATTTTAATTTGTAAACATGGAAAACATTATTAACTTCCAAGAAGATTTGTATGAACGTATTGTAAAGGCAAAAGACTAATTTTAAGAAATCGCCTAAAGAACGTATAACCAAAGAATATGTAGATAGTAGACTAGAAAATCTTGAACAATTGTGGTTTGAATTTCTGTCTGGTCACAAAGACTTATTTAGAAGCTATAATGCAAAGGATGTTAAAGGTTCAAGTTATGTCACTAAAAATGTTTATGACAAAGCTGAAGAAATGTATTTAGAATATAAGTGTGATCTTAAAACGTTATCTAAACAATTTGAATCAAAATTAATAGTTGAAAGTAATGAACCGAAACCTAAAGTTTCAAATAGAATGCATGCAAACTATCCACAAATAAATATACCTCACTTTTCTGGAAATTACCAAGAGTGGACAACGTTCAAATCTCTCTTCAAATCTCTTGTTATTAATAACGAATGTTTGGATGAGATTCAAAGACTTCATTACCTCAAATGTTACCTTAAAGGAGAAGCCGAACAGTTAATTAAACATGTACCTATTGAGGAAGGAAACTTTGAGCGTTGTTGGCTAGTGGTAAACGAACGATACAATGATAAAAAGTGGATATGTCATCACGTTCTTAAAAGATTTTTGAGCCAGAAAAATCTTACCACCGAGTCCAGTGTCGGGCTAAAAGAGCTTGTAGATACTACAAATGAATGTTTGGCAAGTTTGGCAAGTTTAGGAATAAAAGTTGAGGAATGGGATATGATCGTCATTCATCTAATTAATTTAAAACTAGACCCAGAGACACGTCGTCAGTGGGAATTTCATTGTACCGCAAAAACTACTTCTGACGAATTGCCCACTTATCAATTGTTTGTTAATTTCCTTAAGGAACGATTTTCAGCTATCAACCGGTTGTCACAATCAAATAAACCTATTAACACTACAACTAAAATAAAGGCGTTACATATTACAAAGACTGTAACTTGTGTCTTATGTAAAGAAAATCATAAAATTAATCAATGTACGCAGTTTCACAAGGCGTCAATTGACGCACGCCGCAAAATTGTTACTAACAATAACTTGTGTTTTAATTGCTTGGGTGAAAATCACTCTGCCAGGGAATGCCACAGCAAGGTGAAATGTCGTGTGTGTAAGCGTTCACACAACTCTCTTTTACACCCCAAGGGTGATAATAACGGGAATAATGAGGCAAGTGAGAGTATTGCCTCTTCGTCAAATGATACATCGCAAGTAGTCTCATGTTTAGCATCGAGCACACTCACTTATCAGCAAGTACTACTTGCAACTGCATTGGTCAAGGCAGTTTCACGAAGGGGGGAAAACTTAATTATCCGAGCCTTGATCGATCAAGGGTCGCAGTCGTCTTTCATAACGGAATCGACTGTGCAATACCTGGGGCTGAAAAAGATGTCAGCTAAGGGACGAATATCAGGCTGCGAAGACAACACGTGGAGATGCAGATGGTCGCTATGTCGTTCGTCTTCCGCTCAAGAGCGAGAATCCTCAAGTGACATCTTCACGGGAAATCGCCGAGAGAAGGCTAAAATCATTAGAACATAAATTAAATAGGGACAAAGAGTTACAAACTAAATATCATGAAGTTATAAACGAATACATTACTCTTAATCATTTAGAGCTTGTACCTGAAACAGAAATCGATAATAAAAACGCAATTTACTTACCCCATCACGCGGTTGTGAGAAATGACAAAACAACTACAAAGGTGAGAGTTGTTTTCGATGCGTCCTGCAAAGGAAAAAATAACATGTCACTGAACGATCATTTACTAGTGGGACCAACAATTCAACCAGAACCTAAGTTCTGTTATGTCTAAACATATCATCATGAAATGGCGGATGGCACCCATTTGTCTATCTGCGGATATTATTAAGATGTATCGGCAAGTGAAAATGGATAAACGGGACAACGATTATCAAAGAATCCTGTGGAGAGATAATCCTAACGAAAAAATAAAACATTACCGACTTAACCGAGTTACATTTGGCACGGCTTCCGCGCCTTATCTGGCCGTAAAGGCACTCCAACAAGTTGCACGTGATCACAGCGAAGAATACCCTATGGCAGCTCAGAAAACGTTAAATGATTTCTACGTAGATGATTTCATGAGCGGAGTTCAAAACGTGAATGAAGGAATCGAGCTATTTAATGAAATGAATGAGCTACTGAGTAAAGCGGGTTTTGAACTTCAAAAATGGACAAGCAACAACAAAAACCTTACCGAAATAATGCAAAGAAAGGACAAAACTATACTAAAAGGAAGTGATAAGGAAATAAAAGAAGATGAGCTAGTAAAAACAATGGGACTTACCTTTGACCGAAACGAAGACACGATCCGCTTCGTAATAAACCTACCGACACTGCAGGAACCTGTAACAAAAAGAAAAATTATATCGGATATAGCACGTTTTTATGATCCATTAGGGTGGGTTGGACCCAATATAATATTAGCAAAAATGATGATACAAAAGCTATGGCTTGCAGGAATTGCCTGGGACGAAGTCGTTCCAGACAACTTATTAAAAGAATGGTTAACTTACCGTAGTGAACAAATCAAATTAAGAGAATTACGTATACCAAGATGGATGGGGACATCAAAAGAAGATCGCGAAGTTGAACTGCATGGCTTTTGTGATGCGTCGAAATCAGCGTACGCTGCAGTGGTATACATTCGAACTCTGTCACCCGAAGGAAAAGGTCAGCGTCTCATTGGTTACGGCAAAAACGAGAGTCGCGCCTGTAAAACAAATTTCAATACCGAGGCTCGAACTATGTGGAGCAGTCATGGTAACCAAATTATTAACAGAAGTAGCAACCATACTAAACGTTGCAAAACACAACTTACACGCTTGGACTGACTCAACCGTCGTTCTAGCATGGTTAAACAAACATCCTAGCAAGTGGAGTGTGTTTGTAGCAAATAGGGTATCCGAAATTTTAATGAATTTAGAGCCACTAAATTGGTCACACGTCACCTCTAAACACAATCCAGCTGACTGCGCATCTCGCGGCTTAAATCCCGCTGAACTGGTTAACAACTGGTCCATGTGGTACAACGGACCAGAATTTTTATCTAATGCTACCATCACTTACAACAAGCCTAAGCAACTGGAAACTGAGTTGGAATTGATTAAAACCCACTGCGCGATTTTGGAGAGTGACAACATGTTTTCTAATCTATTGAACAGGTCCTCGTCGTTAACAAAGGCAAAAAGAGTGCTTGCCTACTGCGTGCGGTTTGCTAATGTAATTAAGAAAAACTGCTTTCAAAGGCACTACTTGCCTTACCACGGAGGAATTGAATGAGGCCTTAAATCGTTATATAAAACAGTGTCAATTGAGTTGCTTCGAAAAAGAAATAAAGAATATTAAAGTTATCCAAGACTTACCTAAGCACTCCAAGTTAAAGGCACTCACTCCATATCTGGACGAACATGGCATCTTAAGAGTAGGTGGACGATTGCACCAATCAGATTTATTAACATTCACTCGAAAGCATCCCATCATAATACCCAAAAATTGTCGCCTGGCTCAACTAATTGTGGCTGAGGCCCACAAGAACACCCTTCATGGCGGACCGCAAGCTACATTGTGTTACGTCCAAACGAGATACTGGATCATCGGCGGCAAACAGTTAGCAAAATCTCATTACCGTTCATGCGTCACGTGTATCAAAAATGCTGCAATTTCAAAATCTCCTTTAATGGGACAACTACCTTCTGCTAGGATTACTCCATCTCGAGCGTTCAGCAACAGTGGCGTCGATTACGCCGGCCCAATCCAACTAAGAGTGAGCAAAGGTAGAGGGCAACAAATCCTATAAAGGATATATCGCCTTATTCGTTTGTATGGCGACAAGGGCCATTCACTTAGAGGTCGTAAGCGACCTAACATCAGAAGGATTCTTACAGGCCTTTAAACGGTTTGTAGCCAGACGTGGTCATTGTTCGCATCTGTGGAGCGACAATGCCACCAATTTCATTGGAGCATCAAATGAGCTCAAAGGACTCAGTATGGCTGAACAGAAGCAGCTGCTTACAGAAGTTGCCGAAGCGTTGACCATTAATAATTGCGAATGGCACTTTATACCCCCCCATTCCCCTAATTTTGGAGGTTTGTGGGAAGCAGGAGTCAAGTCGGTAAAGTACCACTTGAAAAGAATTGTTGGCAACTCAACTTTAACTTATGAGGAGATGGCAACAGTCCTGGCCCAGGTAGAAGCATGCCTGAACTCTCGTCCGTTGTCTGTGATCAAAGATGATCCTGACACCATTTTAACCCCCGGACACTTTCTCATCGGAGAACCGCTGGTAACAGTTCCTGATCAAAACGTAGAGACTTTAAATGTGAGTTCATTGAGGAGGTGGCAATACACTCAACTTATGCTTCAAATCTTTTGGCGACAATGGTCGCAGGAATACCTTTCAAAATTTCTGCTACAGTATAAAGGAAATCTTTCCACTCAATTTAAGGTTGGTGATGTAGTGGTCGTAAAAGAGGACAATATGCCTCCCTGTCGGTGGCTTTACGGCAGAGTGATAGACACCCATCCTGGTAAGGATAATGTAGTGCGGGTAGTAACACTCAAAACCAAATCAGGTGCTCTCAAAAGACCCACCTCTAAATTGTGTATCCTTCCCATAGCGGAATAACCTTTGTAAATTAAAGTCCAAAGGCAAACTTTGGCCTTGGTGGGCGGCATGTATAATCTTATGTATTTAATTTAGTATTATGCATGTAATTTAGTACCTTAAGTTAATAATAGATGGCAGTAGTGATAGAAAGTAAAACACGCTAACAAAATTTTTATGGTATTAGATATAAGCCAAATTAATTAAAATATAAAATGGATCTGAGGGATCTAAGATCTGAAACAACAGAGTGTTTTCATTGTTAAAACCCTGGGGTACAGTTCCTTATTACAAGCGAGGCAGTGTCTTGTAAACTTGGTAAGAGTTTCGTTATATGTTATACAATTTAAAATGAACCACACATTACAATATTTGGAGTTTATATTAATATACATAAATATATGTAATTGTATTTTTCAGTTTTGTCAATGAAGAAGGCTTCAAACATCAAATGTACGCCATGTACTCCACGCCGACATGCTACCTGCAGACGACGCACCAGGAGAAGTAATGACAAGTTGTCTTCTTGGTAACAGTTTCGTTATATGTTATACAATTTAAAATGAACCACACATTACAATATTTGGAGTTTATATTAATATACATAAATATATGTTATTATATATATATTAATTATATTTTTCAGTTTAGTCAATGAAGAAGGCTTCAAACATCAAATGTACGCCATGTACTCCACGCCGACATGCTACCTGCAGACGACGCACCAGGAGAAGTAATGACAAGTTGTCTTCTTGGTAAGAGTTTCGTTATATGTTATACAATTTAAAATGAACCACACATTACAATATTTGGAGTTTATATTAATATACATAAATATATGTTATTATATATATATTAATTATATTTTTTCAGTTTTGTCAATGAAGAAGGCTTCAAACATCAAATGTACGCCATGTACTCCACGCCGACATGCTACCTGCAGACGACGCACCAGGAGAAGTAATGACAAGTTGTCTTCTTGGTAACAGTTTCGTTATATGTTATACAATTTAAAATGAACCACACATTACAATATTTGGAGTTTATATTAATATACATAAATATATGTAATTATATTTTTCAGTTTTGTCAATGAAGAAGGCTTCAAACATCAAATGTACGCCATGTACTCTACGCCGACTTGCTACCTGCAGACGACGCACCAGGAGAAGTAATGACAAGTTGTCTTCTTGGTAACAGTTTCGTTATATGTTATACAATTTAAAATGAACCACACATTACAATATTTGGAGTTTATATTAATATACATAAATACATATATGTTATTATATATATATTAATTATATTTTTCAGTTTAGTCAATGAAGAAGGCTTCAAACATCAAATGTACGCCATGTACTCCACGCCGACATGCTACCTGCAGACGACGCACCAGGAGAAGTAATGACAAGTTGTCTTCTTGGTAACAGTTTCGTTATATGTTATACAATTTTAAATGAACCACACATTACAATATTTGGAGTTTATATTAATATACATAAATATATGTAATTGTATTTTTCAGTTTTGTCAATGAAGAAGGCTTCAAACATCAAATGTACGCCATGTATTCCACGCCGACATGCTACCTGCAGACGACGCACCAGGAGAAGTAATGACAAGTTGTCTTCTTGGTAACAGTTTCTTTATATGTTATACAATTTAAAATGAACCACACATTACAATATTTGGAGTTTATATTAATATACATAAATATATGTAATTGTATTTTTCAGTTTTGTCAATGAAGAAGGCTTCAAACATCAAATGTACGCCATGTACTCCACGCCGACATGCTACCTGCAGACGACGCACCAGGAGAAGTAATGACAAGTTGTCTTCTTGGTAAGAGTTTCGTTATATGTTATACAATTTAAAATGAACCACACATTACAATATTTGGAGTTTATATTAATATACATAAATATATGTTATTATATATATATATATATATTAATTATATTTTTCAGTTTTGTCAATGAAGAAGGCTTCAAACATCAAATGTACGCCATGTACTCCACGCCGACATGCTACCTGCAGACGACGCACCAGGAGAAGTAATGACAAGTTGTCTTCTTGGTAACAGTTTTCGTTATATGTTATACAATTTAAAATGAACCACACATTACAATATTTGGAGTTTATATTAATATACATAAATATATGTAATTGTATTTTTCAGTTTTGTCAATGAAGAAGGCTTCAAACATCAAATGTACGCCATGTACTCCACGCCGACATGCTACCTGCAGACGACGCACCAGGAGAAGTAATGACAAGTTGTCTTCTTGGTAACAGTTTCGTTATATGTTATACAATTTAAAATGAACCACACATTACAATATTTGGAGTTTATATTAATATACATAAATATATGTAATTATATATATATTAATTATATTTTTCAGTTTAGTCAATGAAGAAGGCTTCAAACATCAAATGTACGCCATGTACTCCACGCCGACATGCTACCTGCAGACGACGCACCAGGAGAAGTAATGACAAGTTGTCTTCTTGGTAACAGTTTCGTTATATGTTATACAATTTAAAATGAACCACACATTACAATATTTGGAGTTTATATTAATATACATAAATATATGTAATTATATATATATTAATTATATTTTTCAGTTTAGTCAATGAAGAAGGCTTCAAACATCAAATGTACGCCATGTACTCCACGCCGACATGCTACCTGCAGACGACGCACCAGGAGAAGTAATGACAAGTTCTCTTCTTGGTAAGAGTTTCGTTATATGTTATACAATTTAAAATGAACCACACATTACAATATTTGGAGTTTATATTTTTTTTTTTTTTTTATGGCCCTAAGGGGCAAGCGAGCAGACGGCCTACCTGATGGTAAGTAGGTGCCGTCGCCCATGGACATCTGCAACACAAGGGGTGTTGTTGATGCGTTGCCGGCCTTGTTTGAAAAGGAGCCTGAACACTTGCTTTTTGAAAGACCCCATGTTGTAGCTCTCTGGAAAAGCCTCGGGCGGAAGATCATTCCACATCCTGCACGTGCGTGGTAAGAATGAACGCGACGCACGTACAGTCTTGCAATTGAATGCATCCAGGTGATGTGGATGAAATCCGTCCCTACGCCGAGTAGTGCGATGGTGGAATGTGGAAGATGGCACTACATCAAACAGTTCCTCGGAACATTCCCCATTGTACAGACGATAGAATACACAAAGGGAGCTTACATCCCTTCGGAGGCTTAAAGGTTCTAGATCGTCTGTGAGCATGGGATCGTTGACAATACGAACTGCCCGACGTTGTATGGAGTCAAGTGGAAGAAGTTGGTACTGTGGGGCACCGGACCAGAGGTGAGAACAATACTTCATGTGGGGACGAACCTGTGCTTTATATAATAAAAGCAAGTGTCCCGGTGTGAAGTACTGCCTCGCTCTACTCAGTACCCCTAGTTTTTAGACGCTAATTTAGCCTTGTCCTCCAAATGTCTCCGGAATTGAACGTCGTTCGCTATGTCAACCCCAAGGATCCCAATGCTCTGTCTGATCTTAAGGGGAATGTCCTGGAACGTTGGAGCTACAGTAAATGGGGTCTTTTTAGTGGTAAACGCGCAAACTTGTGTCTTCTTGGGATTAAACTGAACCAGATTCAGCTTACCCCATTCGGAGACCTGCTCCAGGGAGGTCTCAATTT